AACTCTTATTATATTTAAAAATAAGAATTTAGTATAAAAATAAAAATTTATTAAATTTATTCAAAATATAACATTAACTATTAAATATATAAACAATAAAAATCAAAACCAAAACTTAAAACTATAGTAATAGGACCTTACTTTTTGGCCATCAATGGGACCTTACTTATCAATACTTTTGTTATTAAAAAATTTCAAACTTGAAAGATGTAAAAATGCTTATAGGAAAGTAATTAAGAACTGCCCTCCAAACAATAGTATCTTGTTACCATAATTTATGTGACTAAATTAAACTTAAATTACTAATTTACGATTTAATTTAAGTTCATGTGTTACCAGAGTTTATGTACTGCATTGTTGGTATATTTTCTTATTATAAAATTTTAAATGAGTAGAGGTAATTTTTTTATTAATTTTTTGGTATTTATAAATCATATTAAATTTTAATTAATTTATAGTCGAATTGTATAAAATCTTAAAATTTTTTTTTTCAATATCTGGTTGTCTATTTATAAAATTTAAACTTAAAATTTTATTTTAAAAAAATTAAGTTTCTTCAAAATCAAAACAACAAACCATTAATAATAAATAAAAGTAATTAAACTAGTTCACTGAGATAATTACTTGTTTAGGCACAATTAATGCACTCAACTATTTTACGTACCTGAACTTTAACATGTGGCTCGATGAGTTGCGCAATTCAATGAAGGGGTGAGAGATCATTTATTTTAAGGGTCGAACCTTCAATTATTAACCATTCTTAACTTAATTATTAATTATTATCCTTGTAAAAAATATATATATATATTTTACGTAACCGTAGAAGGTTTTGTACTTGAGTCATTTGTTCAAAGTCTTCAAAGAATTAAATTAAGTAGTAACATTTTCAAGATATCTCTAGTGTATTTCCTCTAGCCTTCCTAACAAAATTAAAAAAAGTTTATTTTCAATGTTTAGGAGGAGCAAAATGGAATGGAAAATGCTGAGAAACAACTTGCTAGTGTGAAGGAAGATGCTGGGAAGCAAGATGCTTCCGTTCCAGCCTTCCACGCCACGAACGTGGTTTCACCATTTTAATCAACCGCAAGCAGACGGGGCAGAGGTAGAAGATTTCTCGGAACCCCTGTCTGAATTCTTAGGCATGAGGATTTCTCCTCAATAATTTGGGTTTAAACTTTAAAATTCAAACATTATTTTGTTATTAAAAATTAAAAATTAATAATTTTATTAAAATATGTATAAAACTATTTTTTCTAAAAAAATATTATAATAAAAGAAGATTTTACAAGATAAATTATATATTAAAAATGTAATTTAATTCATAAATTTATTAAAATATTTTTAATAAAAT